TATATTTTTTTCTATTTTCTCCTGAGTTCAAGTTATAGACTTCAGTTCAGAAGTTGATACTTGTGCAACTTCAGTCACTAAGCTTTCAGATAATATAAAAGATAGTCTTCTTTTAAGCAATTTGGCTGCTATTATAGGAATTGAATCTTTAATACTAGGTATTATTGCATACTCTTTTGATATAACAAATAAAAATAAATGTTGGAATTGTAAAAAATGTTTTGAAGATTATGAAGGTAACAAATGTTGAGATTTTTTTCTATAAATATTTTTATCAGATAGTTTTTCTTGTTGTTTAAATATTTTGGCAAAAATTAATTTTGATTAAATTAATAAAAGTATTTATATAAAATTTTATGTATTGTTTTGTTATATAATTTGATATTTATTATATTATTATTTACATTATTTTGTATTATTAAAATTTTTTATTTAGTATTTTTATATTAAAAATTTGTTATTCAATATTATTATATTGTATTTAAATTTGTTATGTTATATTTATTATTTAGTCTTATTAAATAAAAATTTGTTATATTATATTAAAATTTGTATATTATATTGATATTTGTCAACATTTGACAATTTGAAGTTAAATGATAACTTTTGTCACTTTATGTTTAATATTTGTTAATTGAAATAACAAGAAAGTATTTAATCTCAACTTTACTTAATAAAAGTTCAAAAAAAATTTTAAAAAAATGAAAGTTATTTGTAACTGTAATAAATGCAATAGATTACTTGCTGACCCATGAACAGAATTTTTGCATAAATATCAAAAAACAAAAACTAAAAGTTTAGCAAATCAAGAATTACTATTTGGTAAAGAACTAGAAATATTTTGCTAAATTAAATTATAACTTTAAGCAATAATCTACAAAATTTAATATTGAATAATACTAATGTTGAAAATAACGAATCGGAATTCAAAATCCAAAATAATGAATCTAAATTCAAAGTCAATAATAAATTTAACAACAGTTCTAATAACATATTTGAAAATTATTTGGCTTCTGATTACAAAGTTCTATCATATTTTAATAAATTTGCTGATAGTCATTTTATATAGATTTTATTATAGATTATGAACTTTAAAATAGAATTTAATTTGTTGAATATTGTAACAGAAGCACTTATAAAATTTATAAAGTTAGTATTAATTAAAATTAGTGGCAGCAAATATAAACTTTTTTGTGAATTATTATACATGGTTAAAAAATTATTTGGATTATTGAATCAATTCATTAATTTTGTAACATGTCAAAAATGTCACAAATTATATAAACAAGATTATATATCAAGTTTCCAAAAAAACAATTGACTATTGCATTTATGTTGAATTTCTAAATTCAACAACTTAAAGAAAAATTTGCAATACTTCATTATTTACATAGTTCAAATTATTAAATAGAAGTATTAACCAATTAAAATTAATTTTTTTTATGTAACTATTTGGTAGCAATTATTTCAAATGTATTAAAATATAATTTTGAATCTAATTTTCAATATTAAATGAATTTATCAAACACTGATAAATTGCTATGTAATATTTATGATGGCAATATTTGGAAAACTTTTTAGAATAAAAATTCTAGATTATTTTTTAGTAAAGAAACAGCCAATTTGTATTTAAGATTGATTTTGAATATTGATTGACTTCAATTATATAATAACAAAATATATAACACTAATGTTATATATGTAATCATTGCCAATTTGCCACATAATATATGCTTAAGCATAAAAATATACTGATTTTTGACATATTATCAGGCTCCAGTAAACCAAGCTTACACAAAATAAATTACTATTTTGTATCAATTGTTAATAAATTGATACAACCATGGCAAGGAATAATATTAGAATTGACTATCAAAAATAAGAAAGAAAAAATAATTTAAGTGGCTTTAATTTTAGTTTTATGTAATATTTCTGCAATATGCAAAATATGTGAATATATTTTGACACTAGTATCTTGTTACTGTTGTAAAAAAAAGCTAATTATATAGATAATTAACATAACTTTGGTAGCATAAAAAATATGAATAAATAGTTTATACCAAGGGATTTGGCAACACATATACAAAATACTACCAAATGGAGAAATTGCAATAAAAATATAATATAAAAATATTTTGTCAATAAAAATCTAGTTAGATAATCTGAGCTTCATTATTTACTCTATTTTGATCCTATTCAATATTTGATTATTGATTCAATTTACTGTTTTTTTTTTTAGGTATTGATAAATAGCTTATTAAATAAATATGGATTGAAAAAAAAATATTGATGAATAATGTATTAAATAAAATATAAGCAATAATGGAAAAGTTTCAAGTACCATCTGACATTGGCCAAATTTTAGGAAAAATAAATTGTAGAGAAGGTTTTTCAAACTTTACTGCTAATTAATGAAGGAATTTTTTTATAATATATGTATATGACTATTGTTTTATAAAAATATATTTCAAAAATTGATTACCAAATATTAATTAATTTTATCAAAATATGTCAAATATTAGTATACTGAATTGTAAAATACGAATTATTAAATAAAGCTCATAAAAGACTAATAACAATGATTAAGTTAATTGAGCAAAAATATGATAAAGAAAAAATTATGCCAAACTTTTATCTTTCTTTATATTTGTATGAATTCATATATGATTATGAACCATTATATACTTTTTGATATTTTTTATTTAAATAAATGAATAGTTTATTAGGTAAGTTTTTTTATAATTAATATTTGTAAAATAACATTTTAACAAATTTTAAATTTAGGATCATTGCTTAATAACTATTGAAATATTAAGTCCAAACTAATATGAATACTGGTAAATAACTGCTAAATTATAAATCTAATCACATCTTATTATAATAATATAGGACTCGAAATTTTAAATAATTAATTAAATATTGGATTGATTTTAGAATTGGATCAATCTTTAACAGATGAACTATACCAATTCTTAAACAACATATATAATATTTAAGAGATAGTTATCAATAGATTTGAACAATTTTCTAGCAAACTATTATATCCTAAAAAATTAAATTTAATTGTATCTTCTGAAATCTTGGATTTATTAATTAAATATTATGAAGCTTCTTATAAAACTATAAACTTTTGAAGGCTAATCATTGAAGATATTAATGATAATTCAATAATTGTTCAAAATAGAACTGGTTAATATGGAAGATACCAAATTGAAAATGAAATCTTTAATTCTATTATGTTACTATGAAATATAAAAGGTTTATTTCACTAGTTGAAATCTGATTATTCAAAAGTATGTTACTTATCAATCCTTTGGCATATGATAAATAATTTGTCAAGCATTTGTCAAACATTTGATAACAATTTGAAAATCATTGCTGAATTGAAATATATCAAATTATTGCCAAATGTTTAACAAATGCTTGATGAATTATTTATCATATGTTGAAGAATTGACAAGTGATATACTACTGAATAATCAGATTTCAACTAGTGTTTGTTTTAGCCTGATTTGTTAATTATGATGAAAGTGTTGATTTATATTTGGGACAAGTTCAATTTTTTCTTACTCATTTGATCAACTTATCAAATAATATGACAAAACACAATTTGACTTTTATTTAATGGTTTAAATCTGTTAATTTAACAAATATCAGGTTCTATTTTGGATTTGAAAATGATATGAATGTTGAACTATGAAGTACTGAATTTTATCTGATTAAATACAAATATATAATTCTTATTTATAATATTTTTAATCAATTTATTCCTTTTAAATATAAGATTTGAAATTGACAAGATTTTTGTAAATATTTAGCTATTATTTCTTTAAATCACAAATACAATATATAAAATTTCATTAAAACATATATAATTCAGCAAGATAATATAATTTGGTAAGATAATATAATTTGACAAAGTAATATAATTTAGCAATATATATATTTGGCAAGATAATATAATTTGTCAAAGTAATATAATTTGGCAAAGTCAAAAAATATATATACATTTGGCACAAAAAATAAATTATCTATTTTACTATCAAAATATTAAATAAGGTTTAAAAAAATATATACCATTTATGTATTGAATAAATTATATGCTTCTTTATAGCTGAAGATAAAGGTTATATAAATTTGATTGATTAATTGAATTATACACTTTTTTGACAAATAATTGACAAGTGGCATTATGCTAAATAAATCAATTTTGACTAGTATTACTTTTAAATAACTAAATACTATTTAAAACTTTAATATAGGTTTTAACTTTTTTTTAATTATATTTCTTGAGTAATGCCAAGAAATATAGAAAATGAATTATATAAGTAAGCCTTGCATTAAGCTTTTCTAGTAAAGAAAAACATATATTATATTATTGAAATTATAAAGCAAGTTTAAAATTATAATAATAAAATAAAGCATAATAGCTATACAGTATATAATTGTAATTAAAAAATATAAAATAAAAAAAAAACTATAATTTATTATATTTAATAAGCAAGGTTAATTAATATTTTTTCATATGGCAGTAGAAATTATCCTTTATTATTGATATACCATTTTTTTACTATTTATTTTTATAAATTGATAATAAAATGTCTTTTTTAATCTTTTTGTAATATGTTAATCTATTTCTATTGCAAATATATAATTCAAATTGTTAGTATGTTTCTGTTTTAGAAATTGACAATAGATTTTAAAACTGTCAAACTTATAAAATTAAAATAATTTAAAATTTTGATTATGTTATACTATAATTGAAAAAGGATTACTAAAATAATTTGAGCGACAATACGTAATTTATTTATTACTAAATATTAGAAATTCAAAAAACTCATAAATATTTGATCGGGTCTCGATATTCTATTTGTGCCGTATTTTATCCACAGGATTAGTTAAAAATGCATAAATGTAACGCTGATGAGGCTTGAAACTCTACTATGTACTAGATATTCCATTCGTGTATACCATGACAGTCAGGTTAATCAGCTCCATACATCCTCTTGATATTTCCCACGACTCCTTAAGTCTCGGATATAAGCAGTCGCACTATTTTCGTCCATGTCACCGCATGTTTGGGCTATTTTTATTAATGCATTGTTGACATCACGTGCCATATTTTTTGCATCGCTAAAAAAATTACGTCAGAAAGACATTAGAAGTGAAAAACAATGCATATATATAATACTTACCCGCATACATAAAAGTAACCACCTCGAGTGTAAATTAAATCCCATATATATTTTTGATTTTCTAAAAGACGATGTTGCACATATACTTTATGTTCCTATACATTAGAAAAGGGATTAATGGAGGTTATGCTCATTAATTATGCAATTCGATAATATATTAATCGAGACATACTTTTTCCCTTGAAAATGCAGTTATCAATTTTCCACCCTCTCCAAGTGTCTTAAATAGCGTATCAAATTCGTTCTCGTACAAAAAGTCCTCATTTTTACTTCGACATCCATAGAATAAAACTGTATCACCAACTTCATCTCCCTCAGTCTTTTGCTTAGCTCTTTCAATTATGAATCCCCGAAATGGTGCCACACCGGTTCCGGGACCTACCATCACCACAGGTGTTTTGAAATTTTTGGGCAGTTTAAAATTCGACTTACGAACATGTATGGCAAATTTAATTGTATTCGTAGCTTCATCATAAAATCTGTCTCTCGGCCCTGAATATAGGTAATACGGAGACTTTTCTGGGTGCTGAATGTTATTACGCTTGCGATGAACTTGAAGTATGTAATTAGTTGCAAGACCATAAACCGTCTTTTGTGGCATTGTAACAGGATTGTATGTCAAAATTGAGGCGGTAATATGTATGTGATTTGGTGTAGCTTTTGGACTACTAGATATAGAGTAGTATCTACATTGCAATCTTGGCAACGTTTCGATGATTAAATCCAGCGGAATGGTGTCCAATGGTTTTCCATTCTGAGAAATCAGCTCCAACACCTCACCAAGAGTCAAATGTGCATCGGCCACTTTGATTCGGTAAGCCTCCTTATCTTGACCCAAAATGGTGAGTTTTGATTTTCCTTCTTCTGTGGGTGCAAAATTGGCCAATGTAGCAATAAACTGACGAGAGGCAGGAGCATGGATATCTAAATAATTACGAAAGATTGTAGCGTAGGTTGTAGGAACTGGAAAGGGATGCTTTTTTGATGCGGATGCTATATGAAAGAAGAATTTTTTAGACGTTATCAATTGCAATACAGTGAAATGTCAAATACTTGGTACTCACGATCTGTACTCTCGACAATGACTACAGTGTCTTTCTTTTCCCAAAGACCTAGGACCTTGAGTAGTCTATAGACATCTTGCTCCGGATTTATGGGCCAGATTGCGACATGATCACCAGATTGATAAGATATACCTGATCCAGTAATGTCTAGTTCCATATGGATGCAGTTACGGTCGGTAGAATTAAACAGTTCACGAGATTCTATAATCGTCGATGGATATGGATTTTTGGAATCATAAACTTGTTGACTAGAAGAACATAATAATAGGTTAAAAAAAATATATTTATTGGTAAACACAAGTGGTGAATTTCATTTATACTTACATCCCGTTAGTGATTATGGATGTTTCACTATACTCTCCATAAAAGACCTTATCACTGTCATAATTCTCTAATTCGGAAATCTTATACGAAGCAATATGAGTCCTGTCGAATGAGGCAATGTTAAATATATTTATAAACGACGGAATATATACTTAGTAATCGATTCATCAATAGTTATTATTACCCGTTATGAATTTCATTTTGATCGATACCCATTATATCACAGACTGCTTTCCACATATCTTCTTTCCAGCCGAGAAAATCTTCCTCCAAACTACCGTCATCATCACCTTCACCACGCACACCAATTCTTTTGGCACCAAACTCAGTTAGTTTGGCGTCGACTTGCCTTCCAACGGCGTTGAAATGTTCATATGTTTTATTTCCCAAAGCGAAGATCACATAATTAAGATTTGATAATGGTTTTTCTTCAATTGATACTCCTTCCGAGAATTCTGGACTTTCGGAGTTAATCAATTCCCAAAAATCGACGGCATCATCGGTAGGTTCACCTTCACCTAATTGTCAATTGGTATCAATATTTCGCGATCAGCAGATGAATATGAAGAACGAATTTGAATAAATTAAATAAGCACCGTAAGTAGCCATCAAAAAGAAAGCCATGCAATTTTCCGGAAACTTATCAAGAAGATTCATATCACAATCTTCAATGTCGATTGTCATCGTTCTTAAGCCAAACCGTTGTTGACCTTCTTTTGCTAAACGGGAAGCATAATCTTCAGCAGTACCAGTTTGTGAGCCATAAAACATCACAACATTTTTGTCCTAGGTTTAACAAATTATGATTAAAATTTCAAGACAAAGTAGCGTTGAATATTTTAAGTTACTGTGACTCACAGTCTCTTGCATTTTTTTGATGAAGTCTTTGCTTTTCTTCGGGACAAGTGGCTTTGAAATAGCAGGTGCATTATTTGGTGTGGTGATCGGTGGAGACACAGGTTTTTTATTGCCGAACAAAGTATCTTTTGAGAGGTATAGAAAGCCAACAACGCCGAAAAAGAGTATGACGATAAGATCGAAGTAATCAATGATAGGCTCTTCGGCTTGTGGGTCAACGAACGAAGAATCACCAGAAAATGAATCGTCGGCCATTTGAGCTTTCGTTCTTGTTTTAAGGAAGTTGTTTTAAATTATTAAGAAATGGAATAGAATTTTTTTTTTTTAAAAAAAAAAAAACTTGAAACGTTTTATTTGATAAAATACATATTGTCCAATTTAGAACAAATGTCCGGAAGATTATCATGTCACTTACTCTAATCTAATAAAAATTTCCAGATTTGGATATAAAAACAAACTGTCCAGTCATCTAGCTGGGTCAATCATAACTTAATTGTCAAAAGAACAATTCTTGTGCAGACAAGTTGTACAAATTAGAACGACCGAAATTTTGGATTTTGTGTTCATTACGTTTTACTATGAAAAAATTAATAATTTGCATATCCATTGTTTAATTTAAAAGAATTAAAATAATTCAATATAACAAAAAAACCAAACAATATAATAAAATAATATTTCAAATATAAATTTCTTTTTTTTGATAAATATCAATTATTTATTTTTTTAAGATAAAAGAATAATTCAGCCAGGTTTTTATTGAATTTAACTTCAACTATTATATACAGTCCTTCCCAATAAATGAAGGATCACTTAAGAATTATTATAATTAAACAGAAATAGTTGTCATATATTAAACTTTTTATTTTATTAATAAAAACAACTTT